AGGACTTAATGGCGGAACACTTAGTCCAACTGTTGTTAGCCCTAACAAACCACCAAACCAGAGCTTTCATGGCGAGTCTCCTCTTAAACGGACTTATCACAGCGGTGGCCCAGGTGATGTTCATGAAATCATCAGTGCGTGCTCACTCCCAATGTTGTTGCCGATGAATCCTCCTCCGATTCGAAAGATCTGCCAGATGTTGCCGTTGAATCCCACCTTGATTCGTATGACTACGATCCATTTGGGGATGAGGTTATTCGTAATTACGATTCATTTGGGGATGAGCTTGAAGCTTCAGCAGGTTTGGGTCACCTTGGAGATAATGTCGAACCCCTTACCAAGAGATTTACCAGGTCCCATTTTCTTTGAGCTGCCACTGAACCAGCAAGCAGATTCATACTTTTGATTTCGTTTTTTTTTTGTTGTTTCTTTTTGTTGTTTCTTAATTAATAATATATAATTATTAGTATGCAATCTTAATTCCTAGCCACTTTCCTTCAAATCGAGAAGAACCACAGATTCTGATTCTTTCGCATCGAAAAATATAACATTTCTTCGTAAAATTGATGAATGAATATCTCTGAGTAAAAAAAAAACATTTACCTAATAAGATAAGTGGACCTTCTGATCGGAATAGAGTGTTACGAACTGTTTCGAAATTTTGCTTTCCCGCTCTTTTTGCTCCCAAATCCGATGCCCTCGTTTCGAAATTTCAAAATCGACTCCTAATTATTTTCGACCAAAAAGCAATATTGACTTCAGATTAGTCTCTCTCGCAACGTTTCAATTTCGTGTTCCTCTGATCTTTGTCTCCAATTAAGCTCTGTTAAATTCCATAGAGTCTCTTATAAGGTTTCTGGGTTCCCATTTAGCTTCTCTTCTCGCCTTTTCATTTTCTAGGGTTTTGCAGTTTTTTTGATCCTATGAGCAGAAAATCTGGGGGAAGAAGAAAGAAGATGCACATAAAGGAGATGCTTGGAAGGTTTCAAATCATACGCAACAAGGACGGTGGTATCTGGTTTCGATCCTCATTTCAACACGATAACGGGACTGAATGGATCGGGGAAATCCAACATCCTCGATTCCATCTGCTTCGTTCTGGGTATCACCAACCTTCAGCAGGTTCGAGCTGCTAATCTCCAGGAGCTCGTCTACAAGCAAGGTCAAGCTGACATTACCAAGGCCACCGTCTCCGTCACCTTTGACAACTCCGAGAGAAATAGGAGCCCTCTCGGCTACGAGGAGCATCCCGAGATCACCGTGACTAGACAAGTAGGTTTCTTCTTTCTCTTTCCCTCGGCTTCTCTTCCAATTGCTTTGAATTAGCTTAGTTTTGAATTCACTGGTTTATGGCACTTGTATTTGCTCACGGGGTTACCTTTTCTCTTTGTGAATCTTTTTTTGTTTCGAAGATTGTAGTTGGAGGAAGGAACAAGTATTAGGAATTCCCGTAATCTACTACATCCAAGGGCACTTCTGAAGATTTGTGGCCGATTACTTCCTGTTGTGTCTGAAATCAATGGATGTCTTGGAGTGTCACGAAGTTCGCTAACTTCCCCAAAAACATATTGGCGTTCGCAAGAGAGAATGCTGTAGAACTAGAAGATTTCTCTCCCTCTACCATGATTATCAATAATGAAGTCTGGATTCATTTCTCCCTATTTTTTTCTGGTTGGAGATGGAAAATCTCTAACTTTTTTTTAGTGCGAAACATCTCAACTGAGAATTGTGATTAAGATGGAAATTATTGTGTTGTTGGGAAGAGAGAGAGCAGAGAAGATGATTCACAGGAAATACCGAGAGGCACAGCACAACACGAGCACACAAGTTTTTGAAAGAATTTGCAAAGATGCCATTTGTGGAGTGTGTGAGATGAAAGAAGAGCTCGAGAAAGATGCGGTGGAGTGCCACTGGCTCAAAGCGGTTCCTGTGAAACAGCCCTGCAACTCACTTTAACTTGTTTTTTTTTGGTTTAGTATTTATAGATTATCTTGGTCGGGTTTGAAAGCGTTGTAGGTTAGACAAGTCGTTCTTCTCATTTTCCAAGCTTCAATCGACATTATCAGTTTCCACTCAAAAGCAAAACACGAAATTCTGAAGGAAACAATACATTGACACTCAATTAAAAGCAACTTTCCTAGATTCAATTTTCAAAAATACTCACCCAAATCAATTTTCCCAATTTGAATTTTTTTTCCTAATTGTGCTGCTTCGTCAGTTATGAAAAATGTTTACTCTTTCAATCAGGTTTATAATCGGTTTGGTATCAATTGCAGTTGATTTAGAATTGGTTTGAAAAGAATAACTGTATCATGGAGAAATTGGTCTCAAAATAAAAATGTATGGAGAAATTGTTTTATAACTTTTGATTGAGGTGAAATTGGATCTACGGTCAAACTCTGTGCACTTTGCTTGTCAACCCAGCAAAGACGGGCAATAAGGTCAAACCCTAGATCGTGAGCTCTGTTTTGTCCATCTTACTCAGATCTGAAAAAGATCACCTTTTTGCCTTCTCTGATTGATGAAAGAGATGGGGCTATGGTTATGTATTTAGTTTTGATGATGTCGGCTGGAAAAAGAACTCTTTTTAATTTTTTTCCTCGAAGAAAAAGGAAATACTTTACCAAATTTTCCTATATCATAGAGATTCAGATATCTATTTAAAGCTTGTGAGGGTGGTGGTGTGGTGACATAGCAGCTGTTATGGTTAATTGTCTAGCTCTGATTTCGTCTCTTCGATGGAAGAAAAGGTTTCCAAAGGCGATGCGAAGAGGAAGAGGAAGAGTAAAAAGAAGACAAGGAGGAGACGGTTTAAAGATTCCTTTGGATGTCCAGATGGAGATCCTGACCAGATTGCCTGCTAAATCGCTGATGAGGTTCAAGTGCGTCTCAAAGCTCTGGTTTTGTCTTATCCGTTCCCAATACTTTACCAACCGTTATATTAGTGTCGCGTCCCGACCGCGACGACCTCGTCTGTACATGAGTTTGGTGTACCACAGCGACTCTACTAGCTCGATGGAGGTCTGCCACAACCCCCTCGAGTCAGTACTGCTATCGCTATCATCATCATCGTCTAGTGATAACGCTGACTATTTAGACCCAGATATGACCATGCCAGGGATGGGAGGAAACAACATGTTGGTTCTTCGCGGCCTGATTCTGTACAGGGTTTGCAAAAGGGCGTGTATCTATAATCTCGCCACCAGGCAAAACTTAACCTTGCCTGCCGTCAAATCCGAAATCTATTCGCAAGAAGCATCTCGTAAGCATGTCTCCTTCTTTTTGGGACACGATCCTGTTCTCGATCAATACAAAGTTGTCTGCACTGTTGTGATATGCTCGGAAGATTTCGAGAGGATAACCTCGAAGCATTGGGTCTTCGTACTCTAAGCCGAAGGGTCCTGGAAAAGAGTCGAGTTTGATCAACCTCACGTGCCTACAAGACTAGGGCAGTACATCAATGGAGTTATATATTATTTGGCTTCCACTTGTACCTCTCGCAGTATCGTTGTCGGTTTTGATGTTTGATCTGAAGAGATCAATATGATCCAAGTACCTCCTCCGGTGGCTGGAATAGAGAAGTCTACGGGGTTTATAGAGTATGGTGGAAACCCAGCGATATTTGATCATACCCATATTGGAACAACAGGTTCGGTGGACTTGTGGGTCTTGGAAGATGGCGAGAGATGATCGACGAAATCTTTGGCGTTGCAGCCTTGTCAGATGCATTTACTTGATAACAACATTTCATTTATTGTATATGGTTCACTTAAAAACAGCGAGGTCATTTTGGCACCGCGTCACTTGCCTTCCCCTTATTACATTTTCTATTATGATCTGCAAAAGAATGATCTGAGGAAGGTCAGCGTAAGAGGAATGGACCACTAGTTTGGTAAGCTTGACAAGCTTTTTGAATCCTTTCGTTTTTATTTCACTATTATGGATAAGAGTGAAAGCATCTTGCACTTGGAAATTTGAGTGCCATGTACTTGTTGTTTTATTATCTATTTGTACAGTGGAATTATTTATTTAATTTTTACCATAAAGAAACTATCAATTGATTGTTTGTTCTCGTCTATGTTGCATAGAAACGAAAACGGGTATGTGGAAGTGGAACGTTTCGAAACGCGGAAACGCTATTTTAAAAAATATAGAAATGGAAATGTTTTGGAAACGTATATATATATATATATTAAGTATTAAAGATCTAATTATAAGTATAATATTTAATCAACAAAATCTAATATATAATTTTTATATAATTATTAAACTAAAAAAATTAAAATATGTAAAGTCAAAAATTTAGAAGATTTTTTTTATTATCAATTTTATTAGTTTTATTAACCAATCTATCTTTAATTTTAATTCATCCAGAGAATAATTTTCAAACTTAATAATCCCAAAATTAATTTTAATTACCAAATCAAAATATTTATTATTTATTATAAATAAGTAAATTGATTATTTATTTGTTCTATAAAAACAAGAAATTAGTTTTTATCTTCTTTCCAAAATGGAAACGCGTGTTTCTAAAATGAAAACGCATTTCTAAAGAATTTCAAATTAGAATTTTTATGAAACGAGATTTTTCGTGTTTCCGAAAATTTCGATTTCCGAAACGTTTCGGAAACAGGAAACGTACCTCGGACAGAGTTTCCATGTAACCTAGGTTCTCGTCTTATATTTAATATCGTCAAGCCTCTGATTGTACAAACTACCACAAACTCTTCGAAGAACATCCTTCGAACTCGAGCATCATGTTCTTCTTTCATACTTAAAGAATGTTTTGCTCCATTTTGACTTCTAGATACAACTCTCATACTGTTGGCTGAGTAGTAGGCAAACTCTTGATTCTCCACTTTGGTTCAGGTAAAACGGTAAACAGAAGTTTGCATTAAACGAATTTTTGTAAATCCACCGAAGTTTTCTTCTCTTGTGTCCTCTGAATCTGACCAATGTAGATTAATTGTGCCATCATTGGTTAAAAAAAACATACACAGGTCACAACTGAAGATCATCCACACTTGCCTAGGAAACATGTTTCAGTCCATCCATGTCGACATGGAGCTGTTATGAGGAAAACATTGATGTATATTAATGTCACGCTGAGTAGAACCTGAGGCTGACGAGTGAGTGGTTTTATTGCAAATAACTCTTATAGTCCATTGGGACTTGCTCCATTGCTATTTTCGCAGGTACCTCTTCCTGTTCTTGAAGTTGATGGCATCAGTTATTCCAACAATCGAGTATGATTACGCAATGGACTTTGATCTCGGTAGCTCAAGCACCTAAGACGGGGGGAGATCTCCTTCTCGCTGTCTACCTATTTTCTTCATATACACAATTACTTGGTACACAAGCTTTTATCTTAAACTTGAATACGCATTCGCTTTTGGTGTTTTACTATACAAAGATGCGCTTGTGTATCCAAGAAGCAATCAGTGGTCTCATGAACATAAAACAGAGTCATCTCTTTCTTTTCACTTGTAAGGTGGTGTGTTTTAATCACCGGTTCATCTGATATTTACGCCGATGAATAGTAATCTATTTGTTTATACTGATATAAAACTATATTTATTCTGTGAGAAGATAAGACAGTTTTAGTTTGAGCGTTGCCCTTCGGGTTCGCAAGACGTTTGGTATATTTCAGAATAAACAAATGAACACCAGATTGATGCGCACAAGATGTTCGACCGAATTCCCCACCCAACAGAAAGCCTTCTCACGTGGCTCTCACGCGATAAAACCCACCCTCTTCTGTTCCTTACTGATATGTTCGTTGATTTTCCCGCCTCTATTCTTACAAACTTCTCAAGAAAGAAAAGAAAAAAAAAACCTAGAGACCAAGAAAGCGAGAGAAAACCTTGGGAATCGTTTGCTATGTGGACTTCTTTCTTGGATGATGACGAAGGCTTACAACTCATCTTAAAGGCTAAAGATTTCTTCGCTAACGGAGATCAAAACAAGGCCTTGGAGATATTTGAAGATTTGATTTTAGTCCACCGGGAAGACGAAGGCTCATGGCTTCTACATGCTGAACAAGGTAAAGTATTCTTGAAGCTATCGCAAAGAGCAGAGAACCCTGACTTGGCGTTCGCATACATTTTGGCCTCTGTAGCATGCTTTTCGGAAGATGCGAAGCTCTCAGGAGCTTGTGCACGCGGACTCCACGATTTGGCTCAGCGCCTTGGGTCACTTCTGTACTACAAGAAATGCGTGGACAAAGCGAAACAGGGTTTATCTGTCACTCACACAGGAGAGACGAACCCTGTTGCTCAAATGAGCTTGCGAGACCTAGAAGACGATAAGAGGACATTGGAGCGTTTAATCGTAGAGGCAGGGTTCATGATCGCTCTTCCCAAGACCTCTGTTTTGAAAATGGGCGAGCCTGAAGTTTGGGATTCAAAGAAGAGTCCAGACCCGCGTGAAGGTGCGGTTAAAGGATTGAGGTCGTATTGGATGGGTTTGGATGTTAAGATCAAAAGAGATCTTATGAAAGTAAGCATTGCAAAGCTTAGAACTTTTGTCCAGGGAGTACATAGCAGAGAGGGACGAGATGCTTTTGAAAAAGTTCTCGCTTTTGCTAGGGAAAACGAGAAATGGACATTCTGGTTGTGTCGAACTTTATGTTTGAAGGAGTTCTCTAGTGCTGAAGAATGTAAGACTCATCTTGAGGAAATACATGCTGCAGATTTTAAACCTTCTCGGGAAGATGATATTGCCAAGAGGATAGGGAAAAACTGGGCTCAGAAGATAATGGCTGGAGGTTGGGAACCAGTGGATGCAGTAGCTGCTGCTGAAATGATCAAACATCAGTTTGCAGATGTGAAAGCGTTTACGTCTAAATCTAAGAGGAAAGGTTGGTCAGAGGAATGGCCTTTAACTGCGGATGAAGAGCGCAGGAATGTACTCAAGGAAATCAAATTACTCCTTGTGAAGTTTTGTGACCTCAAAATCCTCTCCTCCAGCATTCGAGACTGGCTGATCCATTTTCCGGCTGAGCATCTTCGAAGACTTGAGGTTTCCGAACAGAGTCGTATCGATTCTCACCTAGCGGAAACACCACAGAGCATCTGTTTTCTGGAACTTCGTGACCTCAATCAAATCCGAGACTTTCTAAAGAAGATAAAGTGTGAAAGGCATGATGGTACAGATCTAGTCTGCAGAGCAGTGGACAGTGTTTTGGATCGTACCCGAGTTAAAGAAAAGGTCGACTTTGACTCTCACTATTCATTTGTGCTTCTGGATAAAAGACTGTTGAAAAGCAATAATGCTACATTTGATGATGATGGGAAAATCAATTTAATTGCTGATCCCAGTGTTCACTACGCCAAGGCACAGGCTCAGGGAGATGATGTCATATCCTGGTTAGTTGACTACTCGTCAGTTGATAAGAGCTTTCCTACACCTATCAGGGAACACAATCTCGACATCTGGATGGCTGTTCTGAGAGCTGTTCAGTTCACATGTAGAAGACTGGGAACCAAATATGCAGAGAAAAATCTGGTCTTAAATTATGAAGCAGCTCTTACTGCCGTGGAGATCTCATGTATGATCGAAGCTGAAAGAAGAAAGAATCATCCGGAAGATCAATGGAACAGTTATGCATCTATTCTATGCTAAAGATGCGAAGAGAGAGTCTCAGAAAATTCACTCATTACAAAGTCATTCTTGCTCGCAGTACGAGATGTTTTGGAAGGAGCATCAGATCCAACATTCGATTTCCCTGAGTTAGAAGATAGCCTGAATTTATTACGCAAGCGTAAAAGTCTCAGCGACGATATAGTGTTGAAGTCCATAGACCTTCTGAGATCATTGGTCACCCGCAAGGTTCTTTCATGTTTCTGAAATTCATTAACAGCAAAAGAAAGACAATAAAATTGTCCATCTAAAAGTATTCTACGTGACTTGCAGGTTCTGCTAATTGATTCAAAGATATTGCTGATTGATAATTCACGGATTAGATTGCTAAACAGCCTCACAAGGCTTTCTGTTTTCGACAACCGCTCTTATATGCTTCAACTGCTGAAACCTTTCTTGCTGGTTGGTTTAAGACTTGGGTTATATACCCAGAGCTTTCATAGTCCGTCTGGTTTGGTACATGAATTGTTTCTTATATGTTTTGTAAGGCATTCTCATTCAGAATGAAATTGTAAGTATGGAATCCAAAGCCAAGTCAGATGCAGCACAAGCAGATCTTTTACGCATGGAGGAGAAGAAGCCACAGGCAAAAAAGAAGAAGAAAACTAAAAGCTCCAAGGTCTTTGAAGCTCTAACTTCTCTGTTTCCCTCTTTGAATTTTCAGTTAATTGGTTGTAAGAGTGAATGGTCTTCATGGCGCAACAGAGAACTTCAGCGAGCATGTCTAGTCGCCTTGATAAGACTGTTGAACAGTAAGTACCTCAAGGGTCCTTTTCTGCGAGTTGATAGATTGTTTTCTGGTTTTCTCTGAGCAAAACGTGTTCATACATGTCCAGTGAACCTTCTGTCAAGCTTGAACCGGAAGAAGGTTCTATGGAACCAGAAGATACTCTTGCAAGTGAAATGAGTCCATTGGAAATTTCATCCACCACTGACATTCAAGAGGAAGCTGCTAAAGTTGACCGTAATGGTAAAAGAGCTTCTCAGTTGACGAATAACTTGATTTGTTTTGTTTTTGAGATGCATAAATCTTATTTCTTTCATTCGCCATCTTCAAGATATGCCAAACATGCCTGGAGAAAATTCACAGTCGGAACATTTGGAGTCAGCACTTGGAGGGGATGCAGCCAGATACAATTCAGCTCTTGACATGACGCTAAAGGTAAAGCTGACACAAAAATAAAAAACAAGAATCAATACCTAAACTGTCGTCTTCTGATTCAGTTCATTCCATATCTCTTTACCTCTTTGTTTTCTTTGATTAAGTCACCAAAACACGTGGTATTGCAGGCCCTCGTGAACATTAACGCTTTTAAAGAAGATTTAAAGCACAATAAGCAACCATTTCGTGACGGCGTGGAAGTACAAGTTCCTTTGGCGCTACAAAATTTATTTACTGCTGTTGTGTCATGGCAAATAAAAACTGAGGGAGTTTACAGTGTCATCTTGAGCGACTTACTTGCTTCTTTAGAAGAAGTTCGTCCCATGGTTCGTGTGGAGAAGATAAGCTTCTAAGCATGGTATTTTATATGCTCTTGTCAATAAGCTTAATTGTTTTTCTTAAGTTATTCTATGTTTTACTCTTTTCAGTCGAGTTATGCTGCTGATGTACTTGTAAACATCCTTAAGTATTGGCATTGCTGGAAAAATTCAGAGAGAGAAAGCTTGGTGACTCGCCTTTTTACGTTGGAGGAAAATGAAAGAATGAGTTGTAGAAACTGCAGAAGGAAGACAAATTATCCGGAGCAGAGTTATTATGGAATTGCTATGGATGCAGATTCGATCAGAGACCTGAAGGTATATTTCACTTATTTCTCTCTTTAACTTTCCTGGAGAAACTGGTACTTCCCCTTATAAAGATGTTCTGTGCTTATACATATGCAGTGTGCTTTTGGGGATATAGAGTTTGTGGATATCTTTAAGGTGGTGCGCATGGATTACAAAATGTTATGTGGCGTTAAAACGGGAGGCTGTGGAAAGACAAACTTTGTTCATCGCTTTATGAGTAGATGCCCTCCTATCTTCACAATCGGTAAGTCTTGACGACCACCATGGTTGTGATCTCATGTACTCATTTCATTTGTTATGCTTATAATAAAACAAGGTTGGTATTTTGTGGGCTTGCATCATTAGTGTTAGAATGGGAGAAGAGTGAAACTGAAAAGGAAATATCTGAAACAACAAATGCTTTGGAGTGGGAGATAGATATCAGCAGGATGTACGAAGGCTTGGAACCAAACACTAACTACCGGCTTGTATCAATGGTAAACAAACAAACAAAACTGAAAACAGGGTCACAAATGCTTGTCTTGTCCCATTTTTATTCTGTATTTCTCTGTTACGGTCTCAGGATATATGTGACCTGATGCAGGTTGGTTATGGTGAAGAAGAAAAAGAACACATCTGCCTAGCTTATGAAGAGAACCGGTGGGTCAATCTCAGACGTGAGTCTTTAGAAGGAGAGGTAAGACGAAACAGTTGGTTTTGTCTTCCTTGTGAATTTAGATAAGAGGGCAGACATTGTTGATAAGATATGTGCTGTAATGCCTTAGGTTGTTGGTGAGTGGGAGAGTGTGGTTATATTCTGTGGAAAAAGGAAGGTTCGGCCAGATATTCTGTTCTATGAAGCTGCCCGATCTATGATGGCTTAACAAGTGTAAATCAATATGGAGAAACCCAGCATTTATGTTACAAAACACTGACATGTTCCAATTTAACAGACGAATTGTTTCCCTGTTCTATAGTATGGTTTTGCTGGATGTAATATACATTTGGAGTTTCAATCAAGCCTCTCGGCTTAAGTTCTTGGAAACTACACATGTTCATGTACGCAAAAAATGGAAATTACGTTAAGAGTTTTAATCAACTCAAGTCTATCTACTGAACTAAATTGTTTAATAATTTCTTTTTTCGTTTCGAAGAGGTAAAAGCAGTAGAAAGACGAAGTGAAGTTCCTTTATCAGAAAAAAGGCCAACGAGTTAACCAAGACATAAACACATTCAAGTTTTGTATTCATGACCGATTTGAATTATTGAAGCGTCTTTTGTATTCTTTGAAATTGTGAACATAGAGACAAGCTGCTTCTTCTCCTTCAGCAATGTAGGTAATACTATGAATGACAATTCTTCTCCGACAAAATAATAATAGCATTCGACAAGATCATAACTTATAAGTTTTTTAGCAACAGAACTAAACATGAAAGCTCCAAAATTTCAATCTATAGCAAGGCAACAAGAGTAGCAGCAAGTAAAATCATCTTCTGAATCTCCCGCCTCTACCACCACCACGACCACCTCTTCTTCCACCACCACCACGACCTCCCCCACCATGTCCATTGCCGCTAGATCCAGGAGTCTTCATGTTTTCAGGCAACGGGAGGATGTGATCAACGCACTTCCTGAAGCTGAAATCGTCTGCAGTGTCGTCTTCCCTAACCAGAAAGAAGCACCGACTTTTCCACATCGGGTGGATTCTTACTTGGAAGGTTTTGATCCCTCCTCCAATCTTCTTGTCAGGCTCAGAATGGCCCTTCTTGATCAGATCTAGCAGCACCATGTACTCGTACTGAGATGTACACAGTCAAGAACAAGGTTCAGTGCAACAAGTTAGTTAGAAGCTCGAAAGAAACTGCAACAACTGTCATCTCAGTGTACTATAATCATTAAACAAAAATATATGACATCAAGACCACACAAAAAATCAAGGTTATGAACTTATGATTCCAAACACAATAACATGATGCTGTACATACATATATCTCAATTTATCCTCTTCCTAAACACATTGCATAATCCAATACCCACAATTAGTATAAACAATCATTAATATGGGACAAGAAGTATCCAAATACTAACTCAATCAAAAATCAAACTATATAACTGGAAAGGTACACGATATATTTGCCAAGAACTAACTTTCGAGCAGTAGTCAAAAATAAGAGCTGCAAAGGAATCTAATTCCCAATCTCAGTTTGTCTACAAAGCACGATTATATCAACTTGATAAATCCTCTTCGTATACAAATCGCATAACACAATATCCACAATCAAAGCCATATTGTTCCCTATGAAACAATTATAACTCGAGCAAATATTGAAAAAAAAACTAAAACTTGACAATCAAAAACCCAAAAGACCAGAAGAAGAGGAACATACCTTATTGACATCGAGATCAGTTGGCCAAAAATGCATAAACTTGGTAAAGTAATCGAACATCGCCACGGAGGTAACAAACTCCTTGGGGCCCAGCTTCACCGGATCCGACCCGTTAGACTTCTCTTCCTCTCCCACCTTCTGCTTCTTCGATTCGCCTACGTTCTCTTCCTCCCCCGTTTCCTCTCTCTCGCGTTTCTCCGCTGTTTCATCGCCGGTATCGGCTTTCGGAGCCACGGCGTCGACTTCCATCTCCACTTTCGGGTCTGGGTTCACTTCAGCCGACACGGAATCGACGATTTCTTGCTGCTCCGCCATTGTTAAAACTTGTAAAGCTTTCGCCTTTCTTTTCTTTCTCTCTCTATGGTTTCTAGGGTTTAAGCTTTAGGGTGAGTGAGTGACTTTTACTGAAAATCGGCTACTGGCATCTTTATATATGATTTCGGTTTTTGATCGAACCGAGCCGGTTCGGTCCATCTTATGAGATTTTGCTTATTTATTTATTTACCCCTATGATAATTCTTTCACCGTGGTTGTAACATGGAAGTCTCTGAGTGACAATTCGCCCCCTTAAACATTATTATATCTCAAAAAACTTTGTCAATGGCTTCTTCATGTTCGAATCAATGTGAATATTTTTGTTTAAACTACAAGAATAATTTTGGAATCTAAAAACATATTTTTAAAGAGAACGTTTTGGAATGTTCAGCCGGTCGGACACATCTCGGAGACTTGGACGGACGTTCACGTCCTTATTTGTTTTTCTTTCTGGTTGAATAGCAATTTTTGCTAAATAAGAAAATGTCAAAGTCAAACTAAGAGATCTCTTGAAATTAAATGTAATAACTTCTTAATTTTTTTTTCAAATTTTGACAATATTTATGCTTTGCGTGAAGAGAAAAAAATTAATATTTCTGGAAGTAAAAAAGAAATTATAGAGGTCTAGTCAAATCTTGCCATTTCAACACCTCAATCTTCAATTTCTAAAAATATTCAAATCTTCTGTCTCGTCCTGTATTTGGTGGAAAACATCTTTTGCATTATCTAAAAATCTAACAATATACAAGGATTAGTACCAAATTTTTTTTGTGTGTGAAAGTCTGATGATAACACGTTACTAATTCCGTTACCGTTTGGTTTAAAAAGTTGGTGAGAGAGAGAGATTCTCTCAAGTTTTCTCAACATGTCTTTTAACGGACGTCACCGTGTCAAACCGTCAACCTCCATAGCTCCATTTTGTGTATAGAGAGAGAGATATATACTTCCGTATACACGCGCTTCGAGATTTATTACTTATCTGGATTGTTCAGACCGAATATCAAACAAGAAAACACATTTGTCCGAATTTCGTTTGAGGGCAGCTGAGTCTTCAAGACATCGAAAGAGAGCTTCTTTTCCCTTTCTACGATTCCAAGATATTTCTTTAGGTATGACGATTGATCTTCGACTCTTTTTTTCTCTCTTGATTTCTGTAGGGTTACGGTTATGTATGTTTCTGCGATTATGAATTCTTGATTTCTACGATTTTAGGGTTCCATTTTCTGAATTGTGATCGAATCGCATCTCTCGCTCTCCTTTGTTTTCATGGTCGTGATTGGATTCTGAAATTTTTGACTTTTCCGATTAGGTTGTATGTGGAATTGACAAAGACATGTTTAATTCAGATCCTAATCGTTTTCATTAAGACATTCTCCCGGAAAGTCGGAATTATGATCCTTGGTTTGGCAGAAATGAAAGATAATTTTATTTGCTTGAAAATGGAACATCTGTCATTTGGGAGCTTTCTTGGTCTTTTACAGGTCAACGTTGTTTTCACATCGAGGCTTAAGTGTGAGAGATGGCCGCTGATCATCTGAGTTCATGTACCGACCGTCTTGTAACATCCGATCACCTGAGTTCAGAGAGGGGATCAAATGAATCATCTGGAGAAAGTTCCAGAGCTCAAGGCACCACAAGCCTGCCTACTACTAAACCTATGAACCATGAATCCGAGGAAGAAGAAGAAGCAACTGATGAAGAGGAACCGCTTATCCAATCAGTTGAATGCCGTATATGCCAAGAGGAGGATTCCGTTAAGAACCTCGAGTCCCCTTGTTCTTGTAGTGGCAGCTTGAAGGTGACTTTTTTTTATTGCTGAACCTCTTTTCTCGCAATTGGTCTTTTGTCTTTGTCTTGAAAAAGTTTATGTGAATTTTGGTTTTTTCTATTGTGTCCCAGTATGCTCATCGGAAGTGTGTTCAACGTTGGTGTAATGAGAAAGGCGATACAATCTGTGAAATATGCCACAAGGTAAATCAAATCATTGGCATGTATAATTCCTTTCGGTTCAAGTTTACTCTTTTCGTATTTATGCATTGTTTAGTTTCTTATCGGCTATAACCTGAATGCTTAAAATTACTAAAGATCATTGTTTTCTTCTCCCTTTGATGGAAACAGCCTTATCAACCTGGTTACACAGCTCCACCTCCTCCTCCCGCTGATGATACTGTAATCGATATCGGGTAACATTTTCTCAACCTATGAAATGTCTCTTGTGGAGCTAAATTGTAAAAATTATCAATTTCATATGTCAAAGCATCATGTTATTCAATCCACGTTACTCATGCTGCTGTGTATTTTTGTGTGCTATGCAGTGAAGATTGGGCGAATGGTGTTCCCTTAGACTTGAACGACCCGCGCATCTTGGCAATGGCGGCTGCAGAACGTCATTTCTTTGATGCGGACTATGACGAATACGCTGATTCTAACTCGAGCGGAGCCGCGTTTTGTCGCTCTGCTGCTCTTATCGTAAGTCCCACATTTCTCTTTATCTATTGATAATATCTTTCTTTTGAGATGCGAAACTTATTGACAGTTAAATGGCAGTTAATGGCGCTTTTATTGTTACGACACGCCCTGAACCTTACGAACAACAACTCGGACGACGAAGAAGATGATCCATCAGCTTTCTTCTTTGTAAGCAAATCTCTTTACTCACTCACAGCCTTCCTCTTTGTTAACATAATCTCCCATTTTGATTTCTTGTTATAAATAACACTTCCTTGGGGATTTTCTCCAGCTATTCATGCTTCGTGCCGCCGGTTTTCTCCTCCCATGTTACATCATGGCTTGGGCTATCAGCATATTACAACGCAGAAGACAAAGACAGGTATCATCTATATCTTTGAAAGAAGAAACACAGACACATAGAATCTAAACATATGATGTACTCAGTGTTTATGTGTTTTTGAATATCAGGAAGCAGCCGCTCTGGCCGCAGCAGAAGTAGCGTTTATGTTACACAGCGGAGGTGGCGTTGGAGGACAACGCAGGGGAGGATTGCACTTTGCTGTAGCACCTGAGCTGATATCTAATCCACAACAACACCACCCTGAAGCTTCACCGCCGCAATGATAATATCCTCGAATCACCGGTACAGGAGGCTAAAACATCATCCACGACTTCGGTCTCTATCTCTCTCTCTCTCTGTCTGTAGTAACTGTTTGTTGTTTATCGGTCTTGTTCTGAGAAAAACACGAAACTGAGATTCAAAACAAAATACGGGAAATTTTCTCTGTCTATGTTCTTACAGACGGGAAAAAGAAAGATTGTTCTCCAATTGATTCTATGTTTGTGCTTTTAATTTACCTTTTCTGCTACTTTTTTTTTCTTCTCGCTATTTAGATATATTTAAGAAATTACCAACGATCAAGTAATATAACTGTGAAAATACAATTGATCATTTGATCTATTCAAGTAGTAAGAATGTAAGATGCGTCGTAAGTAATGATAACATTACATCAAGCCGACGTTGCTTCCAGTGAACATCGAATGTTTGATGCGACTTTGAAGCCGTGTTGATCAGTTTCGGATCCATGCTGTAGCTTCAATCAATTTCTAAGCCTTTGCATGAATTCTCTTAATATATTATTTGTCATTACACATTTTTTGTCTTTATCTTAAAGTTAAAAAAAGAAAGAAATATAGTAATGAGTTAATTAATAAAAAAAAAATACTTTTAACAAAAAATTATGGGTGGAGTTTAAATATAATAATGATGGGCCATGCGGCATGACCCATGCCCCCATTTTGTATTGATATGGATGGAGTGGACCCTTTCAAAGGCCCAAATATGATGGAGCGGCTTTTAAAAGTCTTCTTCTATTGTGGCGAGGGTCCACTTACCTTATATATCCCATGCAGAGAAGATGAGTCAAACTCCTTATGCCAGCAGAGACTAGGATTTTGACATCCACACGCAAAAAAAGTTTTCTTCTGCAAACACATACATACTCGGATATACATACGATTAATTTGAGTTAATTTACATATATTGGCAGCAAAATACTAGGATATACATATACATTATTATATATACATTTGCAATAAATGAAAAATATAGGAAAACCTTATATATATATGAATGTATATCATGTATCTTGTGATACCGAAACTTGATTTTTATAAACGGTGAACAGACAAAAACACAAAATTACATTTGTTAGACACTGCAGCAAAATTCACATATCCTGAAATAATAACCCGGTTTTTATCCGTCGTCAGCTTTTAGTAATAATGATGAGTAAAAAAAAAAAAACAAGTCGCTCTCTATCGTCCTGAAGAATTAGTCAGGTTTTAATCCGATTGTCGAAATTAAACAATAAAGTCAACGTCTGAGATAGGTAAGACAAAGAGGTCAACGATTAAGTTTTTTTTTTCTTAAAGACGAGAGAGTGTGAAATTAATTATAATCGAAAGGGAGTCTTCGGTGGATAAAGCATACGATCCGCACAAGTCATAACCAGCTTGCTCACTGTGTTTCACAGGCACAAGTCAAGCCCTTCACATGTTAGCATTTAATACTCTTTTCTCTTCGTGGCACATAATTAATCTTTATTGTATATTTTCAAAGTCCTTTCCACCACTAGATTTTTCCTCCTCCTATTGTACGCATATTGTATACGTATATAGATATGTCTGCGCCTATATGTTTTACTTTCGACCCAAATTTTTCTTTTGTATTAACAGCAAACATTATATATTATGCAAATCTTAAAATTTGGTATTTTATATTTCATCTATATTTTAGGTGAAATAAATAATGTTTATGTCAATTGCAAATCTATATTATCACATCTTAAGTTGTCAAGACATTATCACAATTAAATAATACGTCAATAAAAATAATTAAATGTATTAATAATGTTGGAATAACTCAGTAGGTAGACTCTTTATATTACCATTTAATGGCCTTTTTTCTTCCGGGGTTATGATTGATTTGAAAGGACAAAAAGTTGATAAATATGTTATTTATACTTCATTATTTTATTATTAGTATATATAGTAATATTTTGATCTGATCAATCAAATTGACAAATCATAATATAATGTTGAAGATAGAGATCAGTCTTAGTTTAAATGTTTCCACAATTTTCAGTTTTAAAAAACCAGTATTGGTGTTAGTTTTGTTACTTTTGTATCAGTAGGGATTTAAACAAATATGTACGGAAGCTAAACCGAAATTCGGATTTAGCAAACTATACATATAAAAAAATCTTTTTTGTTTGTTTGTCTACACATACTTCCAGGGGCTGATCTACATTGTAAAAGTTGTGGTACGTGCCCCACATTAATTTATAAAATTTTATATTTATTATTATAAGTATTCAATGGTTGGGATAATTTGTTATTGATGTGTTTTCAAGTTTCTTATGTGCAGAGTTTGATTCTCACTATTTTTCTAGATAACTATCAAACTTTTGTTATTAATTTTTTATCTGCCACATTTTCTCTTATTTATCTCATATTTTTTTTTTCATGTTTTTATTCTTCCTTTGATTGATTGCATTACCTCTCTCTCTAATTAACTATCAAACCATTGTTATTAATTTTTTATTTATCATATTTTTCTTATTTATCTCATATTTTTCTTTTTTAGTCTTCTTGATTATTTTATTTTATATTTCATTTCTTTTATACATTGTTGTTGTTGTTTTATCATTAACATGAATATATATATATATAATACATGATACACATATATTATAATTAAGTTCATAATATTTTTTAGTAATTATATGATTTGAATTAGCTTTACAAAATATTTTTAAAACTACTTTAAGAATAAATATTATATAATATTTTATAATATAATTTTATTTATGCCTCATACGAATATTGATTCTGGATCCGCCCTGCATACTCCTATATATAAAAGAATGAAATAACCAGAATCACTAAAAATACATTTGTATAACCAAATGAGCCACAAAGTATATAACACATTACATTAATGAAAGATAATAAACCCTTTGTGTTACATTCTGCTACATACATTTTTTTTTAGAAAAAGAAGAATATTATTACCAAGAGGGAAATAGAGTGTTGTAGAGCTAAAAGCTACTAAAGACTCTAAAACCCTAGTGCAATAATAGGCATATATATATTAAAGGTTATACCTATATATTATTTGAGATAACTCATAACTAATTATAAGCCCTCAAATTTTAAGAGTTTCCACATGATTTAGTTCTAGAACATCGCTTCTTGTCCTTCTAACGACATACCAGCCATGTTCTCATCAAATAGCCATTTCTCCAACAAAGACAGAGATCCTTGCGATATCAAACCAAGATCTTGGTCCATTGTTATTGCCGGTTTGCTCTCCTGGTCCTGGAAGAAGCTTGTTCCCTGAGTCATATTTTGTGTTTCTTCCATGGAATTGAAACTGAAGAAAGATTGTTCAAATCCTTCTCCACCTTCTTCGAAAGCTGCAGCAGCGAGTGGTCCGGTCTCTGAAACCGGTGATGAGGATGATAATGTTAATGCCTTTGGTGTGTCCTTCATGAAATCTTGAAGCAACCGAGCGATGTTTTCAGCACTTGACGCATATACCCCTGATGGGTATGGATTAGTAGTAGTGCTGCTTGTGGTTGTGGTTGTGGTAGAGGAAGAAGAGGAGGATGGATCATAACAACGGTCAATTAAAGCTGATGAAAAGCTAGGGATGTTTTGTGGTACGATTACTGGTGACAATGGTGATGATGATGATGGAGAAAGTGTTGATGATGATGGTTTGTCTAAAGACAAAGCCTCACAAAGAGCTTGCTTTGCCATGTTGATATCTGTCTGAAGTCTTCTCTCCCATTGGCCTTTGTTTGAGCTTTGATATTGCTTTTGTGAAGTAGTGTTTGACGAAGAGAAGCCATCATTATCTTCTTCACCAGATTCGTTGATCTTCTTGAGCTTCTTTTTCAAATGAGTGTTCCAGTAGTTCTTTATATCATTGTCTGTCCTTTCTGGAAGGTATGATGCTATGGCGGCCCATCTATACACAGAGAAAAACATATTTAGATCTTATTATACAAATATATATATCCAAGAAAGGTAGCCTTTTGGACATATATATATAGATCATGTGCATGTATATACCTGTTGCCTAAAAGGGCTTGAAGATGAACAATCATCTTCTCTTCATGCTCAGTGAAATTTCCACGCTTAATACCGGGTCGAAGATAATTAGTCCATCTCAATCTGCAGCTCTTGCTACATCTCCTCAGACCTAAAACATCAAATTAACAAAGATTTTAACCCAAATAGCTTAAGGAAAAAGGGATAAAATGGTAATTAGGGATGTGTGGACGAAAGAGTCGGTGAAATAACTTAGGCTATTTATTACACTCATGTTTAATGATCATACCAACCACGGCAAAGAAAAATAGATATCATAAACCCCCAAATAATTTGTATTTTTTAAAAACACAAAAGGATTAAAAGTTTGATTAAACAATCTAACTATGTGGTCAAGAAACTATAAAGACTAACCTGTGTTAGTTGGGACAGATCTCCAGTTTCCAGGACCATGTTCTTGAATGTAAGAAACCAAGATGATGTCTTCCTCTGGTGTCCATGGCCCTTTCTTCACTCCAGTCTTTTCACAACAAGGTGGTCTTCCCATATTTCTGGCTCTTTTCAATATGGAAAAATCTTGTTTAGGGCAAGAAATTCGACTTTTGAAAGGATTTGATGATATTTTAGAGCTAAAACTTAATATTTGTGGGATTTTTTAAGCTTTTAAAGAAAGTCCAAATGGGTTTGGTTTTGTCTGAAGAAGTGGAGAGAGATGTTGGTTATATTTATAGAAAGAGCGAGTAAGATAAATGAGAGAGAGGGGATAGAGAGAAAAAGAGGAGTTAACTAGTAAGTAATTAATAAATTAATGGAATGAAAAGCAACAATAATGAAGGGGCTAGCTTTGGCTTTGCTTTCAAAGAGTCAACATGGACAGCAAAATGCATTTACTCTCTTTCTCTCCAAAGTCAGCCTCTTCCTTCTATCTCTCTCCTTCTGTGGACTTACACGGTTTCAAACACAAATATTTGTTTCTGACGTTTGCGTTTACTAATTAAAAAATTAACTTTGTTTTTTTCTGTAATACAGTTGGTGTTTGAAATACCAAACTCAAAACAAAAACAAAAACAAAAAAATCTCGTCCCATTTACGCTTTGCAATTTGTTTCTGTTATCGACGATTTCTGAATATTTTCGAATTCGAAACTGGAATATTGGATTATAACAGAAAGGCAACAAAAATACAAATCATTAGACTATAGATTATTGTCATATATATTCTCTTTGCGTTTTTGTTTATATGGATAAAAAAAAAACATTTAGACCCGAAAAAAATATTTATGTTTTCTTAAGAAGATGAATATGATAGTTTATATTAAAACTTATAATAAACAACCTCAAACATTGTTGCACAAACAAACAAAAAAAAAACTCACACACACACACACAAAAAGCAATCGGCCCCATGTAACTTATTACAATCTCAATCGAGTAATTTACTTGTATGAATCTATCATCAATCTCAGGATTATGAAAATAATTTTCTGATAAATATTGTTAATAGTTTTTGTTAAACCACGGAGTTCTAAATCATCTACACGTACATTTATTTTTATAGAGAATCGGTGGTATTTTGACGAGTATGCATAGTATATAATATATTATATCTACATTTGCTAATATGGACATACTTTCACGTATGTGTCTGTGTATGGATATATCTCAGTTTGGACATTCAAAACCGTGTGGTGCTGATAAATGCATGATCTATGAGATAAAGGGGGTGGCACCGAAAGAAGACAAAATTAAAAGGTGAGTAAAAAAAAAGCTATATTTCGATATCGTTTGTGAATTTTTTTATATATCAGATATATATAGCTTATTATAGTCTATAGAGGTACCTTTGTAGAACAAACAAAAATAAGTTCTTTGGTTTTATGAAGGAAAGTCAACTAGATTTTATGAATTTACAATGCTGCTGAACCCGTCTGCCTGGTATGTTCTTTTCCGGTTTATCAATATTACTATTTTAATTTTCTTGGCGTGAAGTGTCTGAGGTAGAATGGATTTTTTCGATATTACAAATAAATAATTAAGAACAAATCAATAATAAAAAATCGATTTTTTTATTTACAATTGAGTACTGCATTGATAAAAAATAAAGTAAAATTAACTACTTCCCAAAAAAATTAACATACGATTGCGTCGACGAGATCTTGTAATAAGACACCAAATACTGAAAATTGTACGTTTATGGATCTACAAATAAATGAAATAATTACTCTGATTTTTAAAAAGATATATATTCATCGATTTCCAATTTTTTAGCAAATTACACCACGCAGGCCGCAGCCCTAATTTAATGTCACCTCCGTTTTTGTGAATACATGCATTGAATTGTCGACCCCTCAAAAGTCCATAACTTATGGGGTTAATATATATATATATATATATTTATTAGTATTTTTATGACTATAATAATATCTCCAATTTATTGCATGCCCCGACTAATTAATTTTAGATGTGAGCAAATTCTCAATAAAAACATATTGGTAAATTCTTCAGCAAAAAAAATACTGGAGAACCTCGAAATCAAATACTAGTTCTTCAGAAATTATTTACAAACGGCGTTACAGAAGTTTTAAGACTCTCAATTGACCGAACAATTGGATTTGCCCTTCACTATTTGACCTTTTTATGGTCACTGAGTCATGTTAACTCAGACAGTAAAGTTTCGGGGTAGTAAATGCACTTCATTTAAAAATTCAAACCAAAATATGACTCGCAAAAATGTATAATTATTAGTACAACACATTTCCGGTTCACTATTCTCTATAGTAATACGGTAATCTTCCACTCACACATTACCCAATAAACCTTTTAGTTTTCATTTACATTAACATGCGGATTATTAGGTTTCAAAGAAAAAGACTTACTAACTTACTAGTACTACTATTTATTTTTTTATTTTTTTTGAACTTTAGTACTACTATTTATTGAAGCATCAAAACAAGAAAGCGACCTTTTTCATCCACTAATATACTCAGCTTAACTTTTGATTTAAGTTTATCTGGTTTGTTATGGAATTCGATTTAAGAAATTCATTAATTTTTTTTTATATATTACTGTTGATTTAAGTTTATCTGGTTTGTTGTGGATAAAAATGTTAGTTAGGAATCGCCTGTGGTTGAACTGACAGTATGATAGTTTAACTGACGACAATAATTATAAATATATATTATTTAAATTAGGTTAAAATCTTATAACGATGATTACGAAAGAAATTGTAATGACGATATATTATACAATTGTTGTGATTTTAACTATTTTTGAATTTTATCCAAATTTCATAGTAGTAAATATCATTTACTATTACCAAATGAAAGGTCATATATAGTAGTTAAGAGTAACGCGTTTTTCTATTTGTCACGATATTAGAGAGCACATTTTGGTTCATAAAAAGCTAAAACCTACTAGATTACCTGAAAATTTAGCTACATCTATACCTAAACAATTGTGTTGAGGAAAAAAAAAACTATTTAGTAATTTGTATTGCTAATTTTTTTTTTTTTACACGGAACAAAGATGAATGTTGCGAGGCACGTCGTGGACTCGTGGATGTGTGGCATTGAGCTTCTAAAATTATTATTTCTTCCGACGTGCATTGAGCTTCTAAAATGATTAGAGAAAATATTTTTTTAATATATATATATATATATAATATATGCACTTTAGTACTCTATTATCAAATTATATTTTTCCACGACTAGTTAGTTAAAAATGAAAAAAAAAAAATCAGTTGAAATCCCGCAAACACCACGTCCTTTGTGATACATCACTGCATCGCCCATACCTTTTTACTTACTCATCTTCACATATTAACTTTACTTTGACTATATGCCACATACCTACATATATATATATATATAGACTATAGTACTCTTTATTTTATCCATATCTATATTTTGTAGAACTGTAATAACTTATAAATTGATTGTTCAAAAAAAAAAAAAACTTAGAAAGGCACATGTTATATCGATTTTTCCAGATAATAACTAATTGAAAATATTAGTTTCCATATTTTGTTTTTGCTATAATAATTTAATTTACACATGATCAAGAAAAAAGAGATTTAATAACGTTTTCAACTTTTTGTAAATAAAGCAATATGAAGTCAAAAATAATTTTCGTTCGAATAAAAGGCTTTAAAACGTATTATACACTTTTAAATTATTAACCTAACGAAAACTAATACTGACAAAAAATGATAAATTATGTATTTACAAGGACATTATTATATATCAACCCAAATATTTTAATTTATAATTTATTAGTCTAACGGTAATATATTATTCACTTCTTCATTTAATTTAATTTGTTTGTTTTATCTACAATCAATTTGAAAGTTCCTACGATATTTCCTATAGTTTCCAGAAGATTAAGCCAAGTCAACGACTACGGTCGTCTTTTGGATGTAGACAAATTTTAGATCAAATGTTATTTTATACGCTATCTAACTAAACAACTTGGTAGGTTAACTTAGGGTTTAAAATAGCAAAACCAAACTTAGGGTTTAATATTTAATCCCCAAAATTAAGGGTTTAATGTGACTGTAGCGACGACATGTGCCAGCATCTAAAGAGAAAAATCAGGAAAGCTTCTTTTAAAAACTAAGCAATAACATAGAGTATCGGACCTAATGATGCAACGATGATTCATATATAATTAGTCTTACTGTGACCTTGCCGATGGCCCGATGTACTTCTCAGGAAACAAAGGTTGCCATTTTCGACACGTTAAATTTTCGAAAGGTTTTTTTATATATTACATTAACATTTCATATAAAACAAAAAACAAATTTACTTAAGTATCCATCAGTTAAATTGCCAATAAGAGATCGACAATTCTGACATAAGCATAAGCATGGTATAGTGTATATAGTGCACACGTTTACTAATTACTATATTTTCTAGTAAAGTAAACATGTTTATTTTTCTTTTTAATATAATTTTACGCAATGGAAGTGCGCATGTTACTTTGTCTAAGAAATAAATCCGAAGGGTTAAGAAAGATTTGATGTGTTAATATATAATTTTCTTTCTGTATGATAACTAAATTAAGATATACTTATATAACTAATCAGAATGATAAATGCATATTTACTTAAGAAAAAAAAGTAATGCTTTGCGAGCTAGAAAATTTGCTCTAAACGTCATTATTCATAAGTATATGACCAAAATAGTTTTGACCGATTCAATGTGGAAGACAAACACAAACCTATGAAAGTATTAAACTTTCCAATCCAACTTGCATCCTCTGATTTTAAAACGGCACGGACCTCTTGTTTAAAGATTACATAAGTCAAAATCATTAATAGCTTGATTTTTTTTTTTTTGAACACTATCATTAATAGCTTGATTTTTTTTTGGAATTTTAGACTAATTATGCTGAAACTCCTATATACATAGGTTCGATATTTTAACTAAGATATATTTAAGGTTAAATTATAACACAGTGAAGGCTTTCGAATTCGGAATATCTGATGTTTGCAGTCACTTGCATAAAATATGCATTGGGTTTTATTTTACCGGATTAAATCTTGATATAGACCGTTTCGGCCATGACATAGTTTTTGGATTTTATACTTAAATTATAATCGATATGGTCGACGTCATGTTTTTAAGAACGCGTGTCTTGACAAAAATTGTTGAAATGAAATGTGAATTATATTGCAGTTTTTTTAATACATACAAAATAATACTGTACTACAAGAACTACTATTAGTTTGTTTTCACATTGTTGAAGTCTCTTGGCGCATGTTAGTATATTTTTCCGTTCTATTTATTGCACTATAAATACCGTTT